ATGGCCGAACCTTCCCCGCCGCCGAGCTCGCCGTCGATGCAGCTCCGGTGACCATTTGGTCACCCCGGCGAGTCCAACAAGCTCGTAGGGCCACGTAGAGCATCCCTAGTGCGTTGCTTCTCCCGTTTTCGCGCTCCAAACGCGCTCTCGTGCACGACCGAACTCCGGCAGCCGCAGCCGAGCTCGCCGCCGTCGACTCCGGCCACCCCAGGCCCAGCCACGGCCACCGCCCGACGCGCCATCGAGCTAGCTCTCCAACGCGCCTAGCCGCGCGCCATTTGGAGCACCACAGAGGAAACCCGGAGCACAAGTACGCCGCGGATCTCGCCGGCGACTAACCGCCGGTGGGTTTGACTTGTTTGACCTGGGGTTTGACCCCCCCAGAGTCGCTGACTAGTGGGGCCAGGCCCTGCTAATTTTAGTTAAATATTAACTAAACCTAATTAGCCACTAACACTGACCAGTGGGCCCCGACCCCCCCCCTAATCCTTTAATTAAGCAAATAACCCCAGTTAACTAACTGTGACACTGACGTGTGGACCCCACATGTCAGGTTTGACCCGGACCAGCCCCTGTTGACCTGCTGACGTCATGATGATGTCAGGCTGAGGCAGTAATGTTTTCTGGATTTATTTTTATTCAAAAAATTCCAGAAAATTGTATAAACTTCTAAAAATCATAGAAATTCAACCGTAACTCCAAATTAAATAAATTATATATGAAAAATTATCAGAAAAATTCAAGGAATCCATCTGCACCATTTTCATGCATATTAGAACAACTTATAGCTGCTGTTTAGCACAAATCAATTAGATGGCATTTGAATAATCACATATGGAGTTTGAATTTGAATCTTGTATTCAAACCAACTTCATTTAAATCATAGCTAGGTGCATTAGCCCAAAACACATTCATATTGCCATGTCCTAGCATGCATCATATTGTGCATTGCATTGATCGTGTTTCCTCTGTGTTTGCCGGTGTTGTTCCCCCTCGATAGACGTTGTACCGATGACGTGATCGTTGACACTGATGAAGACTCAATGTTATCTTCAGAAGTGCCAGGCAAGCAAACCCCCCTTGTTCATTCCGATAAAATCCTACTCTCTCGCTCCTGCTCTCTTTTAATGCATTAGGACAACACCGATTCATCTGTTACTTGTTGCGGTAGCTGAACCCCTTTATCCTTTGCATGACCTGTCATTGCCACAGTAAATAGATGAAACCCACTAGCATGAGTAGGAGTTGTTTGAGCCCTGTTGTGCCTACTCATTCATGCTTGTTTGTCATGCCTGCTACTGCTTAGAGTTGAGTCAGGTCTGATTCATCGGGGATGAATCAGAGGTGTGTGAACATGTCCTACCGTTGAGAGCTAAGTTTGTGAACACGATTTGGTAAAGATAGCGGTGAGAGGCCATGTAGGAGTACATGGTGGGTTGTCTCATTGCAGCCGTCCTCAGGAACTGAGTTCTGTGTTTGTGATCCATGACCAGTTACTACCACACATTGGGTTCCGGTAACTCGACCCCTCTCGACTTATTAATCAGCATGATCTCTGTCCAGGAGTTGCAACTAGTTTCTGGTGTTTGTAGGTAGTGTTAGTAGTCTACCAAGTGGCACCCGGTACAGGTGGGCTTGGGACAGACTAGGCACAGTGGCACGGTGTACCAAGTGGCACCCGGATGGTGGGCTTGGGAACCCTGCTCACATCGTTTGGGGCCGTGAGCGACACCCCGGCCGGATCTCCTTGCGGATGGAACCCGAATAGGCGATAAACCTGGACGAGAGACTTGTTTGGTTAGTCAGGTCGTGGCCGACTCCCTCGCCCGGCTTCCGCTTGAAGGTTGCCGAGATACATGACGTGTACAGGGCGATAAGTGGCGGAAGCGTGTGTGAAGAAGTACACCCCTGCAGGGTTATCATTATCTATTCGAATAGCCGGATTCCTCGGATATGGAAACTTGGACCCCTTGTACAGTTCATAGACAAGTGAAAGTGGATACTCTAAAATGCGCAAGATAAGCGTGAGTGCTATGGATGGCGTTCTCGTAGGGAGACGGGAGCGGATCCATAGTGGTGTATTGATATGGTGAATATGTGGACTCGTGTGCGCCACCTCAAAGAGTTACATTGCAGTCGTAGTTCAGGATAGCCACCGAGTCGAAGCTGGCTTGCTGCAGTTAAACTCCACCATCCCCTTTGTTGATAATGATGCATATGTAGATAGATCTGATGTAAGTCTTGCTGGGTACATTTGTACTCACGTTTGCCCATTTTATGTTTTTGCAGAGAGACTTCAGTCTCGCTAGTAGTACCGCGTGGACTTCGACGTTTAGCTTGTTACCTCAGCTACGATCTTGTGCCCTCGGCAGGATCTGGTAGATAGTCAAGCTTTCAGCCTTTTTCATTTATAGATGTCTGTACTCAGACATGATAGCTTCCGCTTGTGCTTTGACTTGTATGCTCTGATTGTTGGGTCATGAGACCCATGTTTGTAATTTCTCGCTCCTCGGAGCCTATTGAATAATACTTGAGTTGTAGAGTCATGTTGTGATGCCATGTTGTATTGCACATATCGAGCATATTGTGTGTATGTTATTGAAATGCTTGGTATGTGTGGGATCTGACTATCTAGTTGTTTATCCTTAGTAGCCTCTCTTACCGGGAAATGTCTCCTAGTGTTTCCACTGAGCCATGGTAGCTTGCTACTGCTCCGGAACACTTAGGCTGGCCGGCATGTGTCCTTCTTCGTTCCTGTGTCTGTCCCTTCGGGGAAATGTGACGCGATGAATACCGGAGTCCTGTTAGCCCGCTACAGCCCGGTTCACCGGTGTCCTGCTAGCCCAGTGCTACAGCCTGGATTCACTCGCTGATGACCGACACGTTCGATGTTGGGTCATGGATGCCTGTCCCTGTAAGTTAGTGCCACTTTGGGTTCACGACTAGCCATGTCAGCCCGGGTTCTTTGTCATATGGATGCTAGCGACACTATCATATACGTGAGCCAAAAGGCGCAAACGGTCCCGGGCCAGGTAAGGTGGCACCCGTGGGAATACCGTGCGTGAGGCCGCAAAGTGATATGATGTGTTACATGCTAGATCGGTGTGACTTAGGATCGGGGTCCTGACACTCGTCCTCGTCGCTGTCGAGGATCACCATGTCGTGCTCGTCCTCGCGCCCACTCTTGCGGGCGGCTATCTCCTACAGGGCTCGGCGCTGCCGGACTATCTCTTCGCGGAGGTAGTCGTCCCACGCCCATTTTAGGGCCTCCTCGTCGAAGAAGCAGCACCGGACAATGGCCTCGTACTCCGCGGGGAGGCCAGCCTTCGGCCTGACGAGGACGAGGCGGCCAGAGGTGGGGGAGGAGTCGGCGATGCGGACGCCGGAGCTGCGGGTGTGGTGGCTGACCGGCGCGTCCTGGGGCTCCGGCTTAACGGGGCGGAGGCTGGGAGAGCCGGTCGAGCGGCCGGACGAGGAGGAGGACGCCCCCGGGTCCATCCGCCTTGGCGCCCACGAACTCCCACGTAGACGGGAGAAGGCCGGGGGAGCGGGATACTCCAGCCTGGGCGTGTTGCCGCCCTCGATGTACTCAAAGACGGCCTCCAGCGTGCGGCCGTACACGCCCCACCATTGGCGGCGGCCTTTGGAGTTGAGCCTCCCGGAGGGCACGACGCCGTTGGTGGCCTCGAGCTGCTCGGCGTGGCGGCGGCGGAAGTAGGGCTCCCACAGCGGGCTATCGGGGACGTACCGTGGGCCTTCCCTCACCGCCTGCGGCAGAGAGGCGCGGATACGCGCGATCTCCGCATGCCGCGCCGCTCCGGTGGTCGGCGGTGGCTCCGGGACCCCCCGGCGCTGATCCTCCACGCCGCGAGCACCCGCATGTCCGGCGGAACCGGGTACCCGACTTCATAGAGGAGCCGAGCTTCGTCCTCGTGGAGGTGGCGGCGGCCGAACGGCCGCCGCCACCGCCACCTCCACCAGGACGAAGCTTGGCTTATATAGGCGGAGGCTCCACACGTACGCGTGGCCGCCGTGTTACGCGTGGCGGGCGAGGGACGCGCGGCGTCCGGTTTTCACTGCGCCGCCCTGTGAGGCATCAATGGCAATGATTCGTCGCGAGAACCGATGCGATGAGGACGACGAAGCGTCGAGAAGAGCCGAGTCGCTGTCAAGAAGGGCCCGCCGACTTTCGCGCCAAAAACGATTCGGCCGGCGCCCCCAAGCGCCCCCAGCGCGCCGGGTTCGGCCTGTGTCCGCCGGCGCCAATTTCGTCCCGAGCTGACGAAAAAGACTCTTTGAAGACACGACTGGACCGATTTTTCGGTGTCGATGGCCGAAATATCGCCTTGGGGGCGCGACTGAAGATGCTTTCAGTCTCACCTAATTATACCCCACCGGCACGGTCTCCTTCCCGTCGACTTAGTCGCCGCCGGCAGTCTTCTTTTTCCTTTTCGCCCCCTGGGATTCACCCTCGCTCCCTCTCCTCCCCGCCGGTCCCCTCTCCCGGCCGCCGCTCCCCCGGGATTCTCCCAGGCAGGTGCGGCTTGCCTGGCCCCCAAACCCGGCCGCAACCTCCAACCTGATCCTCTTAAGCGGACGGACGCCGGGAGATCAGCCGCTGTCCTCGTGGTCTCGTCCGCCGGCACGACTCGCAGTGTTCCGGTGAGTCGTCCCTCCTCGATTACCCGGCCTTGTCCGCGCCGATGTCAGGCTAACCCTGTAATTATTCAGCTGTACTAATTCAAGATCGTCCACGCGCAGAAACTTCAGTCTTCAACGGATCTGTCCAGATTGATCCTTTTAGCTGACGCCGAGAGACCAACCAATCGACCTCAGCCTAGCCGCGGCCCTCGTCGTCTCCTGTGCCGGCGAAACTCGCAAGCAGATCAGGCACCACTGTTCACTGGCACGGTGAATCTGACTGTCTGAGTCGTCAGGTGCCCCCTCCATTGGGCGGCCTAGTCCATCGCTTCCGTCAGACTAGCGTGGAGGTGAAGGACATGGAGGTGGCAGCATTCAGGGCCATGCTGCACTTCATCTACACCGACACGGTGCCCGAGCTTGATCAACCGCTCGAGGTGGTGGCGACGCTCGCTCAGCATCTGCTTGCGGCTGCTGACTGGTACGTTCTCGATAGGCTCAAGCTGATTTGTGAAGTAAAGCTCTCTGGTGGCATCACTGTCGACACCGCAGCGACAACTCTTGCTTTGGCGGAGCAGCACAATTGCTCGAAGCTCAAGGCCAAATGTGTCGAGTTCATCGTCAGCACTCCTGCAGTTCTTGATGACGTGTTGGCGATGGAGGGGTATAGGCACCTGGAGGCAAGCTGCCGTTCGGTCTTGACTGAGCTTCTCAAGTCTGTCCATGGGAGGAAGTGTTGAAGTGTTGCCATATTGCTAGACTTCCAAGATCTGACAATGCGTGCAGTCTCTGTTTGTGCTTGTGAGAAATGATTAATGCATACTAGGAACTTGTGACTGTATTTACCTAAAATGGAAAACTTATGCCCTGTTATGAGCAACGTAATGCTTTCATCCGCCTACAGTAGTTGTAATTTAGTGACTGCCAATGTTGACACAAGGTTTTACACAGTCCAGGTGTCGTGTATATGCTCGTAGTCTTTTGAACCGAGTGTGCAACTGTGCATACAGATACATGATTTGCTCAGCTGCAGCCACACCCATCCTGGTGTTGGGACGTCTTTTGAAGACCTTCTCACAAGGAAATTAGTGACAATACTAGTACAATTAGAAATAGGAATCCATTCCTACAAACCAAAAAAACTTCAAAGGAATTTTTCCTACAAAAAAATTTCTATGCTTTATAATTCCTACAATATTCTA